GGCTCAGTGGTAGAGAACATGCTCAATACACAAGAGACCCTGGCCTTGGTCCCCAGGGTGCATTGGCTTTACACACACACACACACACACACACACACACACAATTATACACAAACGAAGTCATGCAAGAGTTGATGAGTAAGTTTTTCCAGGTTTTGTGTTTGTTCCCTTTCATGTTCATTTTCTCCTTTATGTAGCATAAATACGGTTTATGAAATACGTGAAATCTGCCTGTGAGGGAGGTCCTGCAGAAACTTGAACATTGTGTAAGAGGCAAAACTTAGCGGTTGTGTATCTCTTCTCTGAAATGCTTGGGAGCAGAAGTAGTTCAGGTTGGATATCTGCACAGACTTTACCAGTTAAAAATCCCTAATCCCCAAATCCCAAATCTGAAATGTGAAAGTCAAAACTTTTTCAGCACCCACACAATGTTCAGAAAGTTCTGGATTTTGGAACATTTGGGACTTGGGGGTTGGGATGCTCAACCCATATTAACTAAGGGAAAAGTAAAGGCCCTCAGCGGTGGCCTCCCAGAGGCTGCCCCTGACGTCACAGAAGGGATTTGAAGCCTGGGGACAGAAGGAAGGATGGGATCTGGGAAAGTGAAACGAACCCGACCCGCGGTGACCACGGCTGTTAGCAGCTCAAACACCAAATTACGATGTTTCTCCTGAGAACGGTTTCTGCAGTAACTCACTTTTCAAAGTTTCTGAATCTCCTGATATGAAATTAGCATCACCTGCCGTAAGGGAATGGCGGCCCGTTTCCTCCAGAAATCTCATCCTTCAAAATACTAAAAAATGTATTTCATCCTTGAGATACAATAATGGGGACCCCAACATCAAACGTCCTCAGCCACGCTCCTCCAGGGGCCACCAGCGCACCCCTCAGGCAGCAGAGGTGAGCAGGCGCCACCGCACCTGCAGCCTCACACCAGACCCCGGGCTGCTCAGGCCGAAGGGCAGAGGCTGCCTCGGAGTCACCTGCGGCACCTGAGCAGCCAACAGTACACCGAAGACCATGTCCCCAAATGCCAAGGAATGACGCGTGGTCAACTGCTCCAGGACTCAGAAGAGCCCTGGGGAGCCGGGCGATGGGACCCCACAGGCAGTGGTGGGGTCAGGGCCTCCAGGAGGTGGGCCAGGCAGGTCTTCTGGACCCTTCCCCGCTGCCCCAGGCGGACACAGGACACAGCGGTGCGTCTGTCCATCTCACCAGGGAGCGACTGCCCGGCCTGGATGCAGGGAGAACCTTCCCTCCTCCACAGTAAGGCAGCAGGAGGAAGGACTTCCCTGGTGGGAGCGGAGCTGCCGCCCACTCGACAGTGAAGTCATCTCTGGTCCCTGGGGCAGGATACTGCCACATCCTGTGTGATACATTTCTACAGGGGACAGGGACTGCAGGCTCCTCAATGTCATGGGCAAGGCCTCCATTTCTGCCTGGTGACAGGCAAAGCATCTACTGTGGTCTTAAGGTCTGGGTCTCTCCAAAATTCCTGTTGAAATCTACCCCCCAATGTGGTAGTAGTAAGAGGCGACTAGGTCAGGAGCAGGTCCCCTTATGAATGGGATTAACATTTTTATGAAAGAGGCTTGAGCACCACCACTGGGGACCCAAAGAAGGTGCCATCCATGAGGAATGGCCCTCATCAAACACCAAACCTGCCAGAGCCCTGAGCTAGGACTTCTCAGCCTCCAGAACTGTAAACCATACCTGTTTGTTGTTATAAACTACCCAGCCTCAGATGTTTTGTGATAGCAGCCCAAACTAAGACACTGCCTCTTGTTTCTTCTCAATCATTACTGCTCACTAGAACCACCAGAGGAAAGAACTTGACTGGCCAGAAAATGGCACATGTGCAGCTAAGTGTGGTGAATTGAAAACTTGGGTAATTCGAGCCCTTATAGAATTCTGGGATCTGAATTCAAAAGTGACAGAGGGGAGAACATATAAAAAAAATTCAAAACCTTCTATAACCTTACTTATTTATGCTGCTTCAACATTTGTCCAGATCAGAAAGAAGCATGTAAATGAATCAAACTTCAAGAATATACAAATACTACCTATTTGTATTCTGATGCTTAATCTACTTGTAAATACTCTGCCTATTGGAACACAAGTCTTTCAAGGGCTATGCTTCCCCCTCCCCCACCCCCCCCCAGATCTGTCATCTCTACACCACATGCAACAAAAAAGGTCACCGTGACAAATCGTTTTTCTTTTTTAAAATTTTTATTTTGCAGTGCTCAGAATTGAGCCCAGGGTCTCGTGCATGCCAGGCAAGCACTCTGCCAATGAGCTACAGCCCAGCCCAGAAAGTCGCTTCATGGCCTGGCTCAGGGTGGGGTGGCGATGA